TTGTTAGCTGCCATGTGGGTGCTGGGATTTGAACCAGGGTCTTCTGCAAGAACAGTCAGTGTTCTTAACTGCTGAGCCATCTCTCCAGCCCATTCACTATTTTTTTTTAACCTAATCATTTAAAATTAATGTTAAAAATTACATTTTAGAATCTAATGAAGATTCACCTTACAGTAAGTTAAATTCAAGGCCAGCCTGGGCTACATAAATAATTTTAGGCTAGCCTTGACCATATAACAAGACCCTGTTTCAAAAATGAGTAACATAAAATGTTGCCTATAAAACTCTACTGATGGGGATTTAAAAATTGGTCATAGCATCCAACACTTGGGAGGCAGAGGCAGATGGAATTCTGTGAGATAGAGGCTAGCCTCGTCTACATAGTGAGTTCCAAGCCAGTGGGGGTTACAGGGAGACCCTGTTTGAAAAACAAAAATCATGGCAATATATAGATATGAGCAAATAAATGTTCCTAAGATAAGGTTCACTTGATGTCCTACTGAGCACTGTGGCCATTCATGGTCAGTACAGTACAGTGTTCACTTAGTTTAGTCGTTTGTTTTTTTTTTAATAATGTCTTAAATTATAAATGAATGTTGTTTTCTTGAGGGACCTTGTCTATAATAGACAATCATTTTCTTCACCAATGGAAAGTATCTGTGGTAAGATTTTGAGTCACTATCTCTGGTAGTATGACATTGTTTTCAGTTTCATATGCATGACTATCAGCAATAGTTATGTTTTTGTTGCCTTACAGCAGCACCCTTCAGTGCTGGCCAACTGGCATTTAAGAAGTCAACAAAAGTCATTAAGAAAAATAAGAGAAACCAAGGTGTTAGATAATTGGAGGAAGTTTTTTTTTTTTTAAGATTTTATTTATTTATTTATTTATTTATTTATTTATTTTTAAAGTTAAAATTCCTTAATTTTTTACACCTGGTACCACTACCACAATTTACAGGGCAATATATCTAATGTAAAGAAAAGAAAAGGACAAAGCTACAACAGATAAAAGACCTCAGGCATGTACATCTAATTGACACTACATTGAATTAGTCAATAGCTACACTTTTGCAAACACTGGTTATGACAGTCCTGATCAAGAATGGTTTCCTGTTTAAGCTGCAGTAACTCTTCTGACTAGGGATCATCGTTCCTTCTGTGGCAGATTTTTACAGTTCCTCTAGTGCATTTGGGACGACTGCCTCAAAGTAACCTGCAGCTTTCCTGGCAACTCCTCACTCTCTTTCCTGCTAAGAACTGTAGCCCTTTTCTGCTGTTTTTAAAACCACCTGCTACCATATCCACCACTTCCACCTCCAGATCCATAGCCACCACCATAGGGACTGCCTAAGCTTCTTCCACCAAAACTGCCCCCCTTCATGGGTCCATAATTTGATTGCTGTTGTCCATTGTAATTTCCAAAATCATTATAGTTCCCACCACCACCATTGTTACCACCAACAAAATTTTTGCCTTCCTTGTAGCCATCAATCATATCCTCCTCCACCACCACCACATCTACCACCTTGGTTTCCATATCCTGGTCCACCCCCCACCATAGCCTCCTCTACTGCTGTAAACAGGACCACACCAAGTTGCCACCATCATCTCCAAATCCATTATATCTACCATCACCGCCTCCATAACTGCCTCTGCTGCCCTCACCTCCACCACCATAGCCTCTTCTTCCACCAAAGTTTCCACCATGACCAAAATTACCTCCACCACCTCCAAAGTTTCTACCACGGCCCATAATGTTACCAGACCCACCTCCTCGACCTCTTTGTGATCCAGCAGACTGCATCTCTTGTTTAGAAAGGACCTCTTTCACTTCACAATTATGCCTATTAATAATGTGGTATTTCTGAACAGCAGTTTTATCAACTGTATCATGATCATCAAAAGTCACAAAAGCAAATCCTCTTTTTTCCACTCTGCCTGTCTTCCATAACTTCTGTGATTTCACTCTTTCCATATTTCTCAAAGTAATCTCTCAAATTATATTCTTCTATATCTTCTTTAATACCACCAACAAAAATTTTCTTCACTGTTAAA